TCAAGTAAATATAAATTTGTTTAAGTGTGTGCAAGTATTTTGTTGAACATGCAGACATATGAGGGCTTTTATCCTAACTCTGCTCCTTAGCACCTCAGTATAATGGTTTTTGTACTACAGGCAGGCTCAAATTTGAAGAAAGTTGATTTTTTTGTGATTTCTTTGACATAAATGGGAACAAGAGAGAACTGCAGTGGGAAAAGTAATGGTGTTTTAAGGCAATTCCTGTTTACAATGGTGTGAATGTTGAGGTCATAAAAGCATTACATATTTTTTGGTGAAATAAATGAATGTATGCATGTAGTGGACATTTAGAAAATGAATCTGGTGAAACTTTCTCTGATCAAGACATTCATTTCAGAGAATTAAGAATGTAAGTTAGGACAGTAAAGTAATATACAGTTAGTAAATGGAAGAAAATGCAGAATAGAACCAGTGAAGAGCAGAGGTGCCATAGACACAATCAGAGAACACTGTATAAACATCAGAGGTCCGCGGTTGTTCAACACCCTCCCAGCAAGCATAAGAAATATTGCCGGAACAACCGTGGACATCTTCAAGAGGAAACTAGATTGTTTCCTCCAAGGAGTGGCGGACCAACCGGGCTGTTGTGGGTATGTGGGTCTGCGGGCCGCCCCAAGCAACAGCCTGGTGGACCAAACTCTCACAAGTCAAGCCTGGCCTCGAGCCGGGCTTGGGGAGTAGAAGAACTCCCAGAACCCCATCAACCAGGTATCAACCAGTATTTTAATAAGATACAAAAATATTAAGTAAAACTGTCAGAAAGTAAATATTATCAATCATCACTTTCTTGTGGTGGAAATATCATCACAAGACTGTCCCTTGTGTCCATGTCCAATCTCTTCCTTGAGGTCGGCATGTCTCACCAGATCAACCCTTCCTCTCACAATACTCTAAATGATATTTAATCAATAGTATCTTCAAGTACTGTTATGCTTATTAAGGCTCCTGTAGCCAAAAGCTAAGATATCCAGTCACTCAACCATTTAGTGGCCAGACCCAGTGGTGCTTAACCAACTTAAATGGCAAGTGGTAATTGCAAGAGTGAAGCAGTACCCATTCATCTTAAAAAACAGGAAAGTGTGCAAAGTACGAGGATTACTGCAGTCAACATATACAAGTGAGAAAGTTGAAAATAAAAAGGCCAACGCAAGAAAAAATGATAAGCAGTTTATTTTGAAATGACTGTGAAGGTACAATTAATTTATCAGCCTACAAGCAATGTTGCTTTATGGTTAGTGTAATTGTCCCATAATGTGGACCCAAGTTTGATTCCTGGGCAAGGCAAGATGTTTACTCATATTTCCTTACACCTGATGCTTCTCTTTACCTAGCAGTAAATTGGAACCCAAGAGTTAAGTGAATGTTGTAGGTTGCATCCCAAGGAAGGTCAACCATTAACTTAGGAGTACAGTACTTCAATAAGCCGAAAAGCCTTCTTGATTCTGACAATGGGAAATAGAAACCAAATGAAACCAGAGAGAAAAAAGTGTTGCAACTTTGTTACAGTACCCAGAGAAGTGAACCAATTACAGTATGGCGAAAAAATACTGTCCTTTCGGAACTTTGACTATCATCCAGTTTGAGCAGGACCAAAAATGTAGCGCTTTAGCTTAACGGATACACAGCTGCAGGAAGGTCACAATTACTTTATTAATTCAATGAATATATATTGCAGCAAGACATCTCCTTATCCATTGTAATCAACAAAGATTCCCTTAAAAATGTTTACACAAAAATACATTATACACAGTATATTATATATTATCAGTTGTATCGAGAGCCCCCAAGGTTGGACTACTGACCCTCCCTAAGATGCAACCCCCACAATAGTTGCCTAACTCCCAGATACTGTACCTACTTATTGCTAGGTGAGCAGTAGCATTAGGTGAAAGAAAATGAGCTCAATCATTTCTGTTGTGCCCAGGTATCTAACCCGAGATCCTCAGTTGTGTGTTTCGAGAATGAAGCCAACTGTAATACTACTGTAGATCTATACAGCATATAATTCTTAGGAGTAGAAAATCAATGCTGTATGATATTGATTGATAATTGAGTGGATTTGAATTTTTAATGAGTTTGTTTTAAGGTGATAATTATCTTAATTGACACTTGGAGGTGCTATCCTCCTGTGGATTCAGCTGAAACATGAATTCTGTCATATATGCCAATCTAGGCCTATTGAACGAAGGAATTTATTAATTTATTTTTAATTTAATTCATTGTGTCGGGGGACAGGAAGCCAGAGTGTATTCATACACATTTGACTTTTATGTAGGTCTCTCCTCCCCCTCCCCCCCTCCCAAATTACTGACCCCAGCCAGGATGCACCCTCACAAGGCTAAGTGAACAAAGGCATTATGTGAAAGGAAATGCACCCAACCATTTCTGTATCGCCCGGGATTCAAACCCGGATATCTCAATTGTGCATCAAGAACGAAGCCGACTGAACTACCGGGACCCTCCGACTCCCAGGGTCCCAGTGCTACATTTATATACTAACTGGAAATTTTTCCACATGCTTTTGTTACTGCCTTGTGCCCCAACCTTGGCGGGGCAGCCCTGGAAGACCACAGATATATCATGATATACAGTACAGTACTGTATAGCATGAAAATATTTCAACCTTGTCACCAACTGTTTTTGAAGTTTCTAAATTGTCACAAATAATTGTTAGTATTTACAGGTTTTATAAAAATAATAAATCAAATATTTTAAAAGTTAATTTATTTTAGGCTACCACATTTGCAATAAAATTCTTCATTTGTAAGGTTAGGTTTAGTTCCTATTGGATGGTGTCAGTGTACCTGTAGTTAAATTTGGAAATGATTCTTAACCCTTTAACTGCGCCGTCTCTAAATATGACACCCGCCCCCCCCCCCCCCCCCAGTGCGCAGGAAATAAATTCTCTTGAAAAAATTCTTTTGTTTTTTAAAGTGTCAGAAATCCTTCCCTCAGTATGGGTATGTAAAAAAAAATCGAACTTGTACGTACTTTGGCTGCTATGGGGTCTGTAAGTTGGCGCGTGACGTCTTCATTCCCCGTTCGCCCGTGACGTATGCTCCCGGGGCCAGTAGGACGCCCGGGGCGGGGCGTGCGAGTTGCCATGAATATATTTTTGTTAATTTTTTGCGCACAGTTCCAAATATATTTTATTTGTTTTTACGTGCTAATCCTACATATAATGAACACGTACACTATATTATGGCAGTAAAACATCCGAACTGTCCGAGGACACTGCGTTACGTGCATGACACTTGTGTACACATATGTTGCACATATTTACCATGTATCATGCTAATTTATGTATATATGCAATCTATTTACAGACTATACACTGTCACACACTATATACATTCATCATCAACACATTCAGAACACCGCGAGTGTGAGCAGCCACACCCAGCCAGCCCTCCCTCACTCCTCCAACATTGTATTCACCAACATTGCTCCTCCCATCATACAGTTATTCACACCAAGGTTTCATGTTCATTTATGTATATGTACACACTATACACTGTCACACACTATATACATTCACCATCAATACATTCAGAACACTGCGAGTGTGAGCAGCCACACCCAGCCAGTCTCCCTCACTCCAACATCGTACTCGCCAACATTGCTCCTCCCACCATACTGTTATTGTTTTTATTACACTATTTACACACGTTATATATACCTATCTACATGTTTTATTTACCAGAACTATATAAGTAAGTCGGTATTGTGCCCAAACAGTACAGTGGCCACCATACACTGCATGAGAAATCACACAGCAAGCAGCAGACGATGCTATGATTACGACATCACCTCCCTCACCAAAATAGCTCCTCTCAACATACTCCTGGTGCTGTTATTACACTATACACACACACACACTGTATATACCCATGTACATGTGTGTTCCCCATAGCGAACCACGAAGCTAGTATGGTGAGCAAAACAAGAGTGACTGCCATACCTCAATAAAGGCTACCTCAATTCTCTCCCTTCCTCCCTCCCTCACCAAAATTCCTCCTTCCACAATACTACACACAACACTAATTATAACCACAATCCTGGTCACTAATTCCTGTAAATGAATAATTGACCACAAGCTTATTTTGAAAAGGAACCTAAAAAGTAGTTTGAAGATTCCTAGATGGACGAAATAATGCTGTGGTGCTGTGGCTAGCACTGTGAACATTGTGAACAGCATTGAATCACTGATATTTGAACATTGTACCCAGTCATTATCACACTCAGGCTCTTCTATAATACTATCATGGCTAAATAAAACAGATTATATATTTGATAATATTAGGCGATGCTGTGGTCACACGCTGAACAGCAGTGCTGTGCGCTCATGCTGCGAGCGCCAGCCTTGGTTGCTCACTGACTACTGAGGCTCTGACACCCGGCAATGTGGACCATGATTTTTTTTAAAGATGGAGTCTGTTTACAAGAGCCCTGAGGAAGCTGATGTGAACCCCATGTAGCCGCGTGAGTTTTGAATGGAACGTGAAAAATAAAAACACCCGGAGGTGCGTTGCGCACCCGAAGCCTGGGCCTGCAGGCGCGTTGCGCAGTTAAAGGGTTAAAAAAAATGCATAATTCTTGTAAATTATTTTATGTGACTAAAACATGTGTATGATCTTGCTAGCAAAACAATCATACCATATATTCAGGGTTACTTAATGAAATCTTTTCACGGTTTCATAAACCACAAGTGTTGTGGCAGCCCCGAAATCATCTCAAGATAACCTCAAGAAGACAAACTGAATTTGGCTTAATATTTTCTCAAGAAAGATCTTGAAAGTTATCTGTTCCACCCAAGATATTGGTCAAAGTATTTATTGTTTATACTGTTTACTTATATTTGGCAGTACTTTTTGTTTTTATCAGTCAATGGTTTTATTAATAATTGTAAACAAAGATTTTTCACCATATATTTCTTTTAATGTACAGTATCTTAAAAGTTTTTCTCTGATGGACAGCTTCCATAATGGCCATGGGAAGTGGTGGCACAGGTGTCAACACCATCAAGATGGAAAATCCAACATATTACACAACTTATACATCCCCTGTACCTGACCACACGCTCATGGCTGGGGCGTACAGCACGTACATGGAACGAGCCGACAGTATGTATCTTTATTGTTTTGGCTGTACTGTATTATAACCCATATTTGTGTCTGTTTATGCAATTTTATCACTTTGTGTTGAGTCACAGATAAAATAAATTAGTGTCATCTGCCATCCCTGCATCAGAGTTCAATTCTGAACTCTGAACTGGTCCTGAAACTTACTGAAAATGCTCATTCTACTTCCACAAAGTAGGAAGTAGACACTACTTCCCTATTGTTGACATGTGTTTATTTAACCCCTTGTCTGGCAGTTCTGCAAGAAACAAAAGGTAGTGACACTTGAGTTGATTCCACACCCAACCTTTTCCAAACAATTGGCAAAACGCCAAACATGACAATGGCTATCACACTACCAGCATACCTCCTGACCAACCCAGAGGCATAGTTTGAGTGTTGAATAGAGCCTCTGCCTGTGTAAACCATTCTTCAGGGTCAATCACCAGAGACAGGGAGCAGTACACAAACACCTTTATTGCACTACCCCAAGAAACCCTTCAGGATGATTGGGGCCTTGTGACACTACTACCCGAGGGATGATTTACCACCCTGTGGACGGTCCACCTAGCTCCAATCAGGGTAGTTCTCCAACCTCTCTTCCAGTGGTGCTACAAAAGAATTGTTTTAGAGAGAAGAAAAAACTTATTTTGTCATGTCCGAGAAGTAGAAGCCAGGAGAGAAAACCCAAAGGTCTAGCAGGCATGGTCGACAGAGTGATGTCAATTTCTGATACGGCCACACATTGACACCGAGGGCGAGGTAGGACCGGAAGGTATCTACTGGTAGAACTTTTATAGCCCCTCCAATAATCCCAAGACATGATATTACCTGTAGGCATGACACAAGAGAAATCCTGCATTGCATTTGTTTCCTTTGGATGCAAATCAGAGATGGGGAGGGAATCCCAGTGGCTCATTGAAGTTTGTGCCTACCTTGATTTTGCTACTGACTACTTCACTTCACACCTTGTCTGCAGTCCTGGACAACTTCTAAGAGTTCCAGTTGACTGCTTTCTGTGTTACTCTTTACTGCAGTGGTAGTGCTGCAGGTGTTAAGTGATGAATGAAGCCTGCTCCTCCCTCTTCTCAGGTGTCTGTATGTGCCATTTCTTCAGTGCAAGGTAGAGGCTCTGATGTAAAGCTTCCTTTAGTGTGTGCAAGTGTTGCTTCAGTTTCCCAGGGGAAGTCAGTATTGCTTTTTTGTATCTGTCTTTTCAGATAGGCCGAACTAATGTGGTTGTGGGAGGAGAGGGATGGGGTGTATGCTTTAATATACAGATGGCAAATTTTTGTATACATCAGCAGTGTTTGTTAAACTGACAGTGTGCACAATGACTGGTATGCCACAATATGCATGGAATGCAGACTTTTAAGTCAAATTAATGTGGCTGAAAATTAGATGCCCATCACACAAATCTGAAAATAAAAGAACATTTCAGTCCATCCTAGACCATTACATGACTTAATAATGGCTCAGGATAGACCAAATCATTATAAATGCCTATATTTTAAAATATGTGGATTGGGCATCATGCATGGCATTTATAAATTGTACAGTACTTCATAGTTTGTGAACCCATCAGTACTCACGATTATGTGAAGCACTTACAACTTGGTCAATACTCTGTGCTAAGTTAATATAGAAAAAATAGGTTTTGCATTATTTGATTGACAGTTGTGCAGTGGATCTCAGTTTGCTTATATCCTTTCCTGCTGTGATCGTTGCAACCCGTTCTCGCAAATTCGTAAAGTCAATATTGACTTATTAACTACGTGCATAGGTGATATACTAAACATAATAGATACCCTTAAAAAGATTCATAGAAAACACCGACCTTACCTAATCTTGTTAGTATCTTAAGATAAGCATCTTATTGCTTCGTAATTACAATTATTACTTAACCTATACCTATTATAGGTTAGGTAATAATTGTAATTACGAAGCAATAAGATGCTTATCTTAACATACTAAGTAGGTTAGGTAAGGTCGGTGTTTTCTATGAAGCTTTTCAAGGGAAACTATTATGTTAAGTATGTCACCTATGCACATATTTAATAAGTCAATATTGACTTATTAAATTTGCGAGAACGGGTTGGATCATTTCTTGGTGACAATAATTCCCGATTGTCATTCTAAATCTCTTGATTTCCTTGGAATACTACTTTTTTATGATTGGAGATTTGGAGTTGTTTTGACTTGGAGGGCAGTCATGTGGCTTCAGAAGTCATTCTTCTGGCCAAAGGATAGAAGACAAACTTTTGAGGCTTCTGTCCTTGAGGGATAAGCCTCCTGGTCCTTTAGAGCCATAAAGCTTATTTCCTTTAGTTCCATTCTTCCTGTCGATGGCCCGATATTGACACTGTAAACATTACCCAACATTCTGGTAAAAAGTCTGCTTACATGACACCAGTAACCTTGAAGTTACGGTACCAGATGAATTATTTAATATATCAATCGATATTAGCTATGAATTTTCTTGTTTATTTATCAGAGAACTGTTACAGAGGGTAGGACCTCGTACTTAAAAGGGATATGGTCACTGACGTAGAATTGTAAAATTTAATACAAATGTGTGTGCAAGAAACTTTATTTAATTTAATTTTCTGGGGGGAAGTCCCCTTCGGTTCTCCGGAGCTAACTGGGCTGATATGAATGTATTAGACCCTGGCATCAGTCAATGCACTTAAGAGTTCTAGGCCTACCGGGGACCACGAGCCAGAACCTGGCCTCCTCAGAGAGGTACGAGGAGCAATGGCCTATAGAAACCCCGTGTGGTTAGAAGCATTCTGTGTCTGCCATCAACCGGGTTAGGGACCCAGAAAGGTAAGTGCCCTAAAACAAACCCTCTATTCTGGTTAAAATATTGCTACTGAAAGCTGAACTAGTGGACACTCCCCCAAATGAAAACGAGCAAATGAGCATGACGTTGCCGCGCCGCTGTCTGCCCAACCCCCCCCCCCCCCTTCCCCAGGAGGGGGAAAGGGGAGTCCCAGAAACCGTGCCAGCTATCCACCCTGCAGTTCTGTGGCTGATGTAAACTGGCAAGGTAGTGTGCCTCTGGTTCCTGTGTTTCTAGTTCTGTGTTTTGTGGTGTGGTGCTGTTTTCTTGGTTGTGCGCAAGCCAGGAGTTAATTCATAAGTACTCGGGCTGCATGCGCCTAGGGTTCCCTTCCCTAGGTGCCCCTGTAAGTACTGCTCTTTGGGCTTGGGACCACCTTTCCCAAGTCACCTTGGGGTCTACCTTTGCAAGGTCTTTTGCTGCTCGGTGATTGACCGCCCTGGGAGTCAGATGGGGTGTTTCTTGCACTCATGTTTGCCTCTGGGTAGGGGGTAGTTTTGTCACTGGTTGGGGCACAGGGTACTGTGCAGCTTTTCATCTCTCATAGCAACCAACTCTGTTCTGCCTGGGTACGTTGTCCTCTTGCGGGGGTTTTCTTTTGTTTTTGTTTTCCTGCCTGGTGGGGGGTCTGCCCCTTTTTGGTCACACCCATTTATATCTTGGTGGTCCTCCACTAGGCTCTCCATGAGTATACATGTTCCAGGGATTCAGCTTAAGCAGTTTGTGACCCCTGGGTTCCCTCTTGCTTCATGCGAGTTTGAAGGATGCTCTGTCCCCCTTGTCTTAGGGTGACACTCACCGGTTGTGCCTCCGTCATGCTGCCTGTTGGGTCGGTGACACCTTCGACCTAGAGTCCTGGGAGTTTTGTGCCTTGTTTGAACTCCAATACACCCAGTCCACTGATCATGATCTACTGGTGCAGGTAGCTTCGGTGTTGCATGCTCGGTTTAGGTTGCTGCAATGCGCTAGGTTAGTTGCTACATTGGATGCCCCAGGACTGTCCCGGTTTGGTTTTAGGGACCCGGACTTGGGGGTGTTAGTTGCTTCAACGTTGGTTGAGTCCACACCCCCTTATCCTTTCCCCTCTGTTGTTTGTCATAACGCCTCCATAATGGATCCTTTTTCCTTCATGTTTCGATCGTCTTTTCCTTACTGGGTTTGTTATGAGGTTCCAGATTCATCCTGGCTGGCAGACTGCCACTTTTTCTCGTTAAGAGGCGTGGCATACGTTCTGTCAGTCCCACGCACTTAAGTGGCATGAGGTTCATACGGTGGTCCAGGTTTTCCTGGGGGGCGAGTTTGAGCACCTCAATGCGTGCTTGTTCGCCCCTACCCCTTCCTCGGGATGTTGGCATTATGCAGCTTCATGGGTGGTCCCGAGAGGGTGAGGGTTCTCACCCTCTCGGCTGCCCTGGTCATTGAGGACTTGCATGCCCGTGGCCTATTGGCATTGATCTTGCAGTTCTTTTCCCTTCTTGAGCTGTCCTCGGACTGGTTTGAGGAGGACGTGGAGGTGCTTGGGACTGGTCCTGGGTCTGGTGCGTTGGTCTCAGCGGTGCGTGCGTCATCTGCTCTTTTCAGACTGTTCAAGCGGGATGCAGTGTCGCTGTTGTTTGCTTCCCATCTCGCATGTCGCCAGGCGGTGTTGACTACCTCCGTGGAATCCACTTGGGCCCCTGGCTCTCAGGCTTTCTTTGTCTTTTTGTCCTTTGTTATTTGCAGAGACTGCGATGGTGCAGTATCTGCAGGCAGCTTCTTCCAGTTGTCGTCTTATGTGTGACTTGTTGGTTCGCCAGGGTGCCCATGGGTGGGGGGGGGGGTTCCTGGAAGAGTTGTGCAAGGGCTCAGGGTTCGTACTGTTGTGGTAGGCCCAGTGGTGCCATTTTCAGAGCCGGCGCAGCCTTCGGTACTGTCTTTGTCGGGTCAGCGCGGTGATTGCTCTGCGCAGATGTTAGGTTCACATAAGGGGAATCGGCCCTTTCATGGTTCGTCCCATTGATGCGGCGATGAGGGGGAGGCCAGAGGCAGTAGGGTCCGACCTTCCGTTGGGCCTACAGTACGGTGCAGGAGTTTGCGGCGGTGTGGATCGTCGCTAGCAGATTGACGATCTGACTCCATTTGGACTGCTCTCTGGTGATTCATTGGCTGAATTGAGGGGGTTCGATGTGGTCCTTGGCTCTTTGGGGCTGGTCCCTTTGGGTGACTTGTCTGCCGAGTTCTGGAGGTTTGGCTCTCTTGGCCGTTCACGTTCAGGGAGTGTCCAATGTCCTGGTGGACGGCCTGACCTGGTTCATTTCCCCTGTACACGGAATGAATGGTTGACGCCTACTCATTCAGTTGGCTCTGCCAGACGTATGGGCTCCCGGAGGTGGACCTCTTCCCGTTGGAGTGGTCGAGGCGTCTCCTGTTGTATGTGGTGCCCTTCCCCGACTGCGAGATTGTCGGAGTCAATGCCTTGCGGCAGGATTGGTAGAGGTGGGCTTATCTGTACCTCTTCCTCCCAGTTCAGCTGTTGCTCCAGGTCTTAGCTCGCTTGAAGACTTACCAGGGGAGAGTAGTCCTTTTGGCTTCTTGATGGCCAGTCCAGCCTTGGTGTCAAGTGCTACTTGCTCGGTGTTTGAACCAGAAGGTCTTCCCGCGGCTCCACCTCTTTCAGTAGATCACTCCGGTCCATTATGTGGCTGGTTCGATCTTCTCAAGTCTTCACATCTGGTCTTTCTGACTAGTCTATCACCACTTGTATAGTGATTAGATGGCTTCGTTGATGGAGTCCCACCTGCGTGCTTTGTCTCGATGACAGTATGAAATTTTTGGCAGTCCTTCCATTATTTCTTATCTTTTCGTAGGTTTATTTCTGTCTCTGATAGGGTTGTCTTGTTCTTCCTTTCGTGGGTGTTCCAGGACCTTCATCTTATGCCGAATACTGTCGTCTTGTATCGTGCGATGATGGAGGAGCTGCTGCTGCCTGCGTTCGATGTTGATGTTACTTCTGCACCGTTCCGTAAGCTGTCTCGTGCGTTGTTTAACCTCCAGAAAGCTTCTGCGCCGCCTGAGTCATCCAAGTCATTGAACCGGGTGCTCTCCTTTCTCTCTAATTGGTTTGTGGTGGCCCCTTCAGTTCAGGATTGTTTATCCCAGGCGCTTTTCCTGTTGGCATTGGCCTCTGGGGGCCGAGTTGGAAAGCTTCATGCTCTCCTTCGGCGCTGGGGTTTCTGCTCTTTTGGTCCTGGTGGTAGGTTTGTTCCTTTGCAGCCGTCTCCTTTTTTTCTGGCGAAGAATGAGACTGCTGCTTTCCGGAGGGGTCCTTGGGTTGTTGATGCTTGGTTGGTCAAGCCGAGGGTGCATCATGTGTTGTGTCCGGTTGCGGCTCTCCTCCATTACCTGCATGTCACAGCCTCGTTGGCGGAGGACGCACTATGGGTTTACCCGGTTTTCCTTCTTCCCTGTTCCAGGGTTCGGGTCTCCCAGGTCCTCCGCAAAGTTATTCGGTCCAGCCAGCCTGCAGTCTATCCTTGTGCCCACAATGTTCGTAAGGTTGCTGTGCTAGCTGCCGTCTTTGGTAACGTGTCTGGGCTGACATTCGGGCACAGGGTTTTTGGAGGTCAAACAGGGTCCTTGCCGCTCGCTACCTTGTCAATGTTCTGGGGCCTTGTTGGGTCTGTGTCGCATTGGGTTGGTGGTTGCAGCCAGTTGTCTCAACTTCGCACAGAGGAGCAAGGGCCAACCGCCTCCCAGGTAAGTCCCTCTTGTTTTGTCTTTGGTAAGTAGCTCTGGGGAGCCAAAGGGGCTTCCCCCAGAAAACCAGCTTTGAATGCAATTAAACCCCATTTTCTGAGTGAGACCTAGAGGCTCTCTGGCATCCCTCCCTCCCTCTAGTTGGCACTTTTTTCACAGTTTTTGACATCCAGCCTCAGAACTACAGGGTGGATAGCTGGTGCGGAGGTCTGGGACTCCACCTTCCCCTTCCCCTTCCCCCTCCTAGGGGAGGGAGGGGGGTGTTGCGGAGACAGTAGTGGGCAACATGGTGACGTCATGCTTGCTCGTTTTCATTTGGACTTCTGTCCACTAGTTCGGCTTTCAGTAGCAATACATATTTTAACCAGAATAGGGGTTTGTTTTGTGGCGCTTGCCTTTCTGGGGGGCCTGACCCGGTCAATGACAAACTTAGAACGCTTCTAACCACACAGGGTTTCTATAGGTCATTGCTCCTCGTGCCTCTCTGAGGAGGCCAGGTTTTGGCTTGTGGTCCCCAGTAGACCTAGAACTCCATATGCATTGACTGATGCCATGGTCTAATACATTCATATCAGCCTGGTTAGCTCCAGGGAGCCTCTGGGGGTCTCATCCAGAAAATGGCATTTCATTACATTCAACGCTGGTTTTTTTATGAGTTTTTTGGTAGCTGCAGTGGAGTACCTCATTCACTTCCAAAGTTTTGGTAATTGAATATTTTGAAATGAGATAAACTAAAAGATTTAATACTTTAGTGTTAAAAAAGAGAGTCTGATGTTCAAGTGACATCTGTGGTAACATTCATTTTACACCTAGTTTTGTGGTGTAGTCGGAACTGAATTATGTAAAAGAACATGAAGTGTAATTAGGAACAAAATGTATTTTCTTATAAACTTCTAAGTGTTATATATAGTAAATCTTTCATGTGTAGCCTTCACATAAGCTTGAAAATAATAATAATAATAATAATAATAATAATAATAATAATAATAATAATAATAATAATAATAATAATAATAATAATATTTATTTACAAAAAGGTACAGTGGGATTGTGAGATTACATAAGATTAGTATTTTTACATTCTTGCAAAGCTACTAACACACACAGCATTTCAGGCAGATATCTCTCTGGTTTGTTCTTGATGCTTTTCTCCATTCATTAATTTGTATCTAGTGAATAGCCGTTGTCCTGACTATTGCAGCACATTCCCTGCTTCCATTGTTAGTGCATGTCCTTTATACTATTCATCTAATGGTATTTTGAGATGAATAATATAGTCTTTCGTCACACACTGTTCAACTGTACTAGACAGGCAATGTGTTATACATAATATATCTTTATCTGACCAGAAACTGTACTTGGTAATTTATCCTTTATTTATTTTTTATCCTTTTAATCTGCACTTCTATATTATATGATATTTTATAGATAATACCTTGATTTATTATACCTCTATATTATATAATAATATTTTATCTATAATACCTTTATTTATAATACTCTATATTATATACAAGTTCAATTATTTAGCATAAATTGTTAAATTATTTCATAACTTTAAATAATGTATATGCTGTGACTGGAACATCACACATTTCTGATCCATGATTTTCACGTGCAGGTCCACTTTCTATGGGGCGAACGCATGATCCACATTCTCCAATGGAGCCTCGTAGCAAAAGAGTCCGTCGTCTGAGTTCAGAGGAAGACACACTGGATAAGGCAGAGTTGGCTTACTACACACAGTCTCCTGCATCTCTATCATCACACACTTCTTCATGGCACTCTGATATCGACCACGGTGGGTTGGTGGCTCCCTCTGCAGCCTCAGCGTCCGCAGCAGCACCAGCCGCGTCTAGCACCTTCCTCCACCCTCACACTCCCCCTCACCACACCTCGCAACACACCCTCGGTACTCGCTCTTCCACTATCTCTCGGTCTTTTGGCTCGCCCACCTGTTTAAAGTCACATATCTCCCATATTTATAGTAAAGTTGAAAATATTAGAATAGACCTCTAAAGCGTATTATACAAATGCTCTGCCAATATATTTTTTTAATGTAAAGAATAAAAAAAGCTGCAAATATTACATAGTTTACATTGTGGTGTGAAATGTGAAAACAAAACAGGTGGCATTTCCTACTTTCCTGTTCTGTGGGATTTACATTAATCTTGCACTACCTTGAATCTTGCATTCTTCTTGCCTTTTAGAAGGTATGATACAGTCTTCTGTTTCTCATCTATCTATCTGCATATTGGATCAAACTCAGAATAATTGCAATGAAACAAGTGTATCCTGCACAAGCGAATACCACGAGTATCACAAGTGACTCACGTTGTCAATTTTCTCTAGTTTTCACTGTGTATCATAAGATTAAAAAACAAATATATAAATAATTGCAAAAACTTGGGGGGGTTCAACACACACTTTTTGGGGGGTTTCCTTGTTTCCCTATTTTTTAAAGTAAACTTCAATCTTCAATATTTCAATATATAAAGTAAGGTACAATGGGTTGTGTAAGTACAGAGTTTGGTGATTAAATGCATTCTTGTAAAGCCACAGCATTTTGGGCAAGTCTTAGTGTAGTGTTAATTGCACCATGAAAGTAGAGAGTGGGGAAAGGTGACATGTTCCTATATACAAGAAATACTGTACTGGAATCAGTCTTACTAGAGTCGGGACACTTGATACAGAGAGCTCAAGACGACAGTTAAGACATCGTAGTAGATAGACGGATGATAGATGAGCGACTTGTAAAAAAAAAATATGCTTGTTGATTGTTAAATTTTCTGAGTTTGCTCAGCAACTTTTTCAAGAACGTAATTCTATTATTGGCTTGAAGTACAGTAAAGGTTAGTGTGGCATTTCAGTAGGACATTATTAGTTTTAGAATATTGAGAATGGAGTTTACAGTTACAAGTTAGCTTGATTAGAGTAAGTTTGCCTGTATCCATAATTGTTAAAATAGGAGGAGTCAGTGAGTTTTGTAAGAGATGTTTCCATAAGTATTGTCAAGAAACAGCTCTTGCTGACAAGATGTAATCCCCAACTGTAAATTAATCTTGCTCTTAAGTCTATGTAGCATCAGTTACTTTAATTGTAGTATAATTCATTCAATTAATAACATGTTTTAAAGCAAACAATGCAATACACATTTTTCAACACAGGCTATGCATTGTGCAGATTTTCAAATTTTCGTAAAATATTTGAATAAACACCGATTAATAAATGAATGAAAATAGAGATATGGCAGAAGTATAATCAGAGCATATTAATGGCTTTTAATATCTAAATTGAAAGTATAATTTGTAATTTATCAGTACATAGGATACCTGGAGCATACTTGGAGAGGGTTCTGGGAGTTCTTCTACTCCCCGAGCCCGGCCTGAGGCCAGGCTCAAAAGGATGGCAATTGCATAACAATTTACATCATGTTAAATATGTGCCAATAATGAGAATGTTCTATTTCTCTTTCCTCAACTGTCCTGGTCTTTTGCTACCTCTGTGGTGTTCATGAAAGCTTTCCATTATCAAATTATTATATTGTAAAAAAATTTCAGATGAACCCAACACAAAAATTACAATTCTCATTTTGAAGGTTTTAACTGAACTACAGATGTACATTAAGAAAGCTTCCTTTTAAGTATATATTACACACACACACACACTCACTCACCCTGTTTAACCACCCAGAAAGCTGAGGCCCAGCAAAACAAACTACATATCTTTATTAAAGTGAGAATAGAATTAACAATGCAAGCACCCCCATTATATCACCAGGTGGTAGCTCAGGTCACTAGGGAACACATGTTAATTACAAGTACAGCAGCTCAAAATTACCCTTAAAAAAAAATCATTAAAAAAAGCCGGCATGGAGTGTCAAATATGATCCCAGAACCAAGTCAGCTCACATTCCAGGAAAGGCTGAGAGGAGCTGAAACCTAACGCCACAAACAAAACATGGCAAGGCTGATTTCATGAACACCTTTAAAATAATGAAGAAATTAGAAGACATTATTCCAGAACACTTTTCTTTTGAACAGCAAATAAAATAACATAATATTAAACATGATTCCCCCCACCCCCAAGAATTTTGATACATTATGTATTGATGTTTATTGACAGTCAGTACTGCTCTCGGAAAGCTTTCACGAACATCATATTTTCTGTTGTAACAATGCTCTGAATAAATATATTTAATGTTCACAAAAATGTCCTGCACATTTATAGGTGGTCAAATATTGATAACATTTATGACTAAAATAGTAAGTGAAGTACCAATCACAGTAACTAACTGAGCATAGGTTACAAAGATCGCTCCTCAATATCTTGGCCTTTTGAGTACAACTTGAACACCAGTCCTGTACCCCCAACAGATACCACCCTCCTGTCTCCTTCTTTGGCAACTGTGGTGTCATCGTATGAAAGAATTCTTTTTTGTCATTAATATCATATGATTAATTTTTTTTTTTTAACTTAAAAATTTTATCATTTGTCTTTGCCCATTTCTTAACCATGGCACCAAAGTTAATTGTTGTGCTTAGACCAGCATCAAATGCTTTGAGGATTAGTCAATAATTCACTAGATTTAGATGTATCCTTGGCATCTTGAGACATATGTACATAAGAAATTACTGTATATGTTTATCTTGTAGGCAGAGTCCCTGTAGTTATCTGACATAGATTAGTATTAGTACCCGAGGAACTTTTGACGAGCCACCGGCTTCCTGTTTCTGTCGAGGCCACTAGAGATGGTGGCCTATGGGAAAATTCTGTAGATTTGAGAGTACACTGTGTTTGGAGGCCTGTGTTATGTTGAATCTAGATATCTTTCCTAGTTAGAAGGTAGAAAAGGTGACTTGAATATACTGTATATATAATTAATACTTTATAGTATTAATCTTATGCATTTCTTATAATGGGTTTTGTGCATATCATTCATAGGAAGATTGACTTTAGATTCAGTGAAAGGAAATGCCAAATATTAACCACCAAAGAATCCATGAATGAATTGCTTGCAGACAATGAGTCACAATAATGTGGCTGAAGCTCTGATAACCAAACCACACACCAGAATATGAAGAAATGACAATGTTTCCATCCATCCTGGACCATTATCAAGTCAACTGTGATCACAATTGACTCGATAATGGTAAAGGATGGACCGAAACATCGTCGTTTCTTCATCTTCTGGCATGTGGTTTGGTGATCGATGAATTGCTTCTTTGTGTTGGGCCACTCAGTAGCGGCCTAATGCTATAACCTGAAAGCCTCCAAGTCTTGGGACACACACTATAACTTGATGACCCACAAGTGACTATGAGAAATCAGTACCAGACTCTGGTCTGCTCAAAGCAGTGAAAGGGAGCCTGGGAATTAGAGGTCACCAAAGAACTGAGCAAAAGACCACCAGGCATGTGAATGAAATGGCTGGCTAACCCAAGGGACCCAGAGACCCTTGGGCAAGTATTTGAGTGAGCAAGCATATCTAGTCAGTGCTCAAACTGCAGAAAGGTTTGCATCATTTTTAACTGGATTACAAATTTCTTTTGGCAGTTGATTGTTTTGGAGAATTTTTCTGTATTATGATGATAACCAATCATCAAGCTTCCGTTTGTCTCTTTCGGGAATTCCATATTCTGTTCCTGGCCCTTGGTAGGTGCTTGTGAGTTGAGTTCTAGTGTTTCCCAAGGTATGGGTGCTTCCAGGTTGTAGAAATGTGAAACTAATGAGGATTGGGGACCTTCCCAGAAGGTGTACATTCTCTGAGGATGCTTTCACAAACATGTGTGGTCTGTAAAGGCTTGACATTATTATTCGCAAACTACTGTATTGTAATTCATTCTTAATATTACTTTAAAATATCTTATGTGATTTATAGTACAGTACTGTAATTAGAACTGCAGTGGACAATCTCTAATCCAGTAGTCAGCACAACATATCTAAATGATGATAATTGTTTACATGTGGATTTTTCAAGTTAATTAATATTTGGGAGGTAAGGTGGAGCTGCTGTACATGATAAGTAGGTAGTCACTTTCAGAGGGGCTCGGTGAGTCAAGACTAAACACCTCCTTTCATCTCCATCGTGAACTGTGTATTGTGTCAACTAATTTTCATTTGTTTTCAGATATATTAAGGAGAAGTGACAATGAATTGTATTTGATTTTAAGTGAAGAATTCTGGCTCTCATCCTATATACAATGGGATATATTTTTAATTTCATTGACTTTCACTGAAAATCTATATAAGGAGATGTTAAATAACTATTAATATTACAGAATAATAGAGCACACAAATGAAAACATTGTAGAACAATTCCTGAAGAAAATTTTTGTTATTTTTCCAACTTACGTACTTGATCTCTACATCTCTATTCAATTTGCCATTTCCTTTACTCAAACACAATGCTGTATGCAGGATCTTATCCTTGTATTTCACTCAGTGCATATTCTTCAGTCTTTTTTCTGGCAAGTACCCATGTTGGGAGTCTGCCATTATATATATCTGTAGTTACATGCATCAATCTTGTCAACATACTTCATTCACATCTCCTGTTGATCCACATGCACACCTTTCCTGTCTCCTCCCTGTTGACCCACATGCACACCTTCCCTTTCTCCTCCCTGTTGACCCACATGCACACCTTCCGATTCTCCTCCCTGTTGACCCACATGCACACCTTCCCTTTCTCCTCCCTGTTGACCCACATGCACACCTTCCCTTTCTCCTCCCTGTTGACCCAAATGCACACCTTCCCTTTCTCCTTTCTGCTGACCCTTCTACATGGTTCCGTAACTT